CCCATATATTTTTTTGCACCTTACCAGAACTGGTTGATTGAATAGGTATCAAAAATATGTAAATAAAAATGTTATATTTACACCTTTTTGATACCTATTCATTTAACCTGTCCAGATGGGGTGCAAAAATATATGGAGAAAACCCTAAACATAGAGGTACGAGGTACGTATTTATGTGTAGGTATCTTTATAGTGAAAAATAAAACCATATAAATATTTATTGTATTTTCAAGTTACAATTTTCATACTCAATAAATGCCTCAACAATAACACTAAAAAACTGAAAAAAATTAACACAATATCAAATATACCATACTCTTAAACTTAACCTTATTGAACAACAGTACATACCTACCTAATATAACAAAAAAAATGAAGGAAAAGTGAAGAAAAATTCCAACCTAAAAAAAATATACAGAAATAGATAGGTATTCTACAAACATAATAATATAGAGAATTGTAAAGGGGCATCATAAACCAGAAAAAGTTTCACACAGTAATAATATTGGTTAAAAGTATTATTATACACACAAAATACATAGTAAATTGGTATAGCCAAGCCGCGAAGCTGCCAAGCTAAACACTTAAACCACAGTTTCGGCGTTGCTGCAATCAATACAAAATGGTTCTCGCGTCACTTGATTTGGCAAAAAAAAACAAAAATAGAAGAAAACAAAACCTCACAGTCCTCACACCACTCTACAAACAGACTACAAACGAGCTACAAACACAAGAGGTAAAAAGGCAAAATCAAACAGGAACAACTCAAGCACGGCGTCATATCAAAATGATGAGCCCTGCCAGTGTTGCCAGATGTCAAATTCAAAATTATCAGAAGAAGTTTGTGTCAATTTTTTTGACTTTCATCTCTAATCTCTATTTATATTTTTCTAACGAAAAAATTAACGAAAAAGAAACGGTGCTGCGAGCTCAACTCATTTCTAGTTGGTAAATGTTTGGTGTGCGCCCAGCAGTACGTCAAAACCACCAACCAAATAAATTTTTAATTTTCAACTAAAAATTTTAAAAATATGCATTGAAATTGTAGTTTCAATAATTTATGGTAGATTTAGCTTCTGATTATTGAATATTGAATCGTAGTCAAAATTATGGTAGATTTCGATAATTATCGGGTCATTGGCAACACTGCACCCAGTGCACACTGCACCCTGCCGTAGCCAAGCGACCGAAACGGCGGCGTCCCTTGTTTTCCACTCATTGGTTTATTTCTTGGTTCATTTCATGTTTATTTTAAACATTCGACCATTTATTTAGGTCAGGTACCTAAATGAACTATAAATCCTTGATTATATGACCTGCCTCACAAAACATTTATAATGACAATGTATTCTTATTTATTTAAGTTTAGATTTAAGGTTTAATAATAGGAATCCACGTCAGCCTGCATTTGGGTTCACATACATTTGGTTTAGTAGGGTTTAGAGGTTAATTTGGAAGGCTTCCGTATATTCTGCTCGGAAATTGCATATTATTTAAAAATATATTATGATCAGGAATTGATAAAAAAATCATGAATAGATGGGAATGATCCAGCTCGTCTTGTATTGTTCGTCTTTGAAACGAACATGTACGTCTTCTACAAGACGTACGCAATATAGATTTTCACGTACGTTCTTAGTACGTACTTTTTTGTCCGTATGTTAATACAGCTTTTTACGTACGTACTCAAAACGTACTTTTACATCCCGGACGAACCGACGTAAAAAGGACCTAAAATGTACGTCTTCAGTACGTACTGTGTTTGTTGGGGTGTGGCAGACGGGATAATATTGATCCAAATCTCCACTTTTCATTACATTTTCAAATTGGCCTATCATTGTATTGTCACACGCGGGGCTCTTTGAAATTTCGGCCATTCCACTTCTTATTGCATCAAGAATAACCACCCTTAATGGCAGACGGGAGAAAATCGTTTTGAAAAAATGGTCGTTATGCACCGGTCTATAAGTGCTTAGTGTGTTTTCGAAACAAACCCCGAAATATTACCACACTTATGGGAGATTTGCCTGAATCCACAGTTGTAGTTTCAAAACCTTTTTACAACACTGGCATAGACTATGCTGGTCCTTTTTATATTAGGGTTTCCAATCTACGTAATTGCAGAATCATGAAATCATATTTGTGAATTTTTGTGTGTATGGCATCAAAGGCATTTAGAGGTAGTTTCAGATTTGTCCATAGATGCATTTTTGAATTGTTTGAAAAGATTCTTTTCTCGCCGGGGTAAAAGTAAACATTTATTTTCAGATAACGGGAGTAATTTTGTTGGGGCGAACAGGAAAATTCAAGCTTTAACTGACATGTTAAAGTTAAACGTTAATAGTTTGCATAATAATTTGTCTCATGACGGTATCACTTGGCATTTCATTCCTCCTTACTCAGCTCATTTTGGAGGACTTTGGGAATCGTGCGTTAAATCTGCCAAATATCATCTGAGAAGAGTTATTGGCGAGGTAAAGTTAACCTTTGAGGAGCTTTATACTATAGTTACTCAAGTGGAACCCGGCATGAATTCCCGACCCGTTTCTTGTTTATCCGATGATCCCATACTGATCTCAACCCTTAACTCCTGGCCATTTTCTCATTGGTGGCCCACTTGTTGCTCTACCTGAAGAGGATCTTCGAGATACTTCTGCAAATCAATTAAGCAGGTATCAAATGTTAACCCAGATAATTCAGCATTATTGGAGCAGATGGTCTGCTGAATATTTGCCTAGTCTAAATCCAAGATCCAAATGGTGGAAGGACAAGTCCCATCTATTGAAAGAAGGCACCATGGTCCTACTCAAAGATGACAACCTTCCTCCGATGAAATGGTCCTTGGGAAAAATAATGCATCTCCATCCTGGCAACGACAATGTGGTGCGCGTAGTGACAATTCGAACTTCATCGGGTCTCACAAGGCGTGCTGTCAATAAGCTAGCGCTGTTGCCAATGTATCAATCATGATGAAATTTCGAAAGTAAGTCAATAAAGTTCGTTTTTTTTTTAAAGATAATTCCCCAAGTCAAAAATTTAGTAACTATGTTGGCAACACAAGCCTTTTCTACATAAAAAATTTGAAAGCATTGACGGTTCTACATTATATTGCCAACATAATGTCATTTTGACTTTTATCTTTAAATAAAAAACAGATTTTACTTTCAAGGGAGGCGGCATGTTCAGAATTGGTTTATGGAACTGTCTTCGAACGCACCTTACTGTGTTATCGAACGCACTCATTGAAACGTTTCCAACTATATTGTTGAACGCAACATCATTGGACAAAAAAAAAATTGACAAAAAAAAACGGTTTTTATTATCACGGTTCATGAGGATGGTTTTGTCTTGGCAACAAACAATTGCTCATTTTTTTTTATTTTGATTATATTGTAAAGCATTATTTTTTTTGGAATATAGTGGAATATATTTTATATCGTTACACATTCATTCATGCTCGTAATTGAATCCTGTCCTGTCCTCTTCGAACAAATTGAAGTTGAAGTTAATACCACTAAGTCAGTCAATTCAGCATTAGGATTCGTCCCTACGAAAATTCTTAGAATTTACGAGGACTTCCTCCACAAGCAACCGTGTAGTGTAGAGACTACAATCGAATATTGACAAAAATCACGACTTTTTCGGGGTTTTTAGTTTTTTTCAGACACTCAGACGGCGGCGCATTACACAAAACTTATTTTTCTTGATTTCCAGGAGTGGTAGCTAAAATGTGTAGCTATTTTCGAAGCGGCACAAGTAACCGAGTAGAAACTACAATCGAAAATTGACAAAAATCACGACTTTTTTAGGGTTTTTAATTTTTTTGAGACACTCAAGCGGCGGGGCTTTACACAAAACTAATTTTTCTTGATTGCTAGGAGTGATAGCTAAAATGTGTAGCTATTTTCAAAGCGGCACAAGCAACCGTGTAGTGTAGAGACTACAATCGAAAATTGACAAAAATCATGACTTTTTTAGGGTTTTTAATTTTTTTGAGATACTCAGACGGCGGGGCTTTACACAAAACTAATTTTTCTTGAATCCTAGGGATGGTAGCTAAAATGTGTAGCTATTTTCGAAGCGGCACCTGCAACCGTGTAGAGACTTCAATCGAAAATTGACAAAAATCATGACTTTTTAGGGTTTTTATTTTTTTGAGACACTCGAACGGCGGAGCATTATATAAAATTAATTTTGGTTGATCGCTAGTAGTAGTAGCTCACATTCATAGCTATTTCTACTATGGCGCAAACAGTCTTTAGAATATATGAGAATCCGGCCGGTATAGTAAAAAGTAGGCCTAATCGCGATTCCAAAGTTCAATTGAGGTTCAATTTGAGGCAATTGAAGAGCCGAAAATAATCAAAAATTGACTGTAACGTGGCTCTATAAGCATTTCCATAAAATTTAAGTTTCTTAAGGAATCATTCTTATTCCTATTGAATCGGAACATTTTTACATTTCAGTTAATACCGCAAGTAATTATATTATCCTGTCACCTGGCAACTAAACAATCCAAGAACCTGCAAAAGTCCTCAATTTATTGCTTTATGCAGTTTGTTTTCTTATCACCACCGTCATAATTGAATTATAATGAAATATTCTATTTAGAAAAAATTGACCATTTTACCACATTACCTCGAATAATATAACAACTCCTTTTTGCAAATTTAACAAATTGGGGTTTTATTGTTGAGAAGGCTTAAAACCTCCCTTCCAATCAGGTCATTTTTATAAAAGAAAAATGGCCTGCAAAGTATTAAAATACCCCAAACTTGTTTTACTTAAATCAGTTTTCAAGTGTAGTTCGAAATGAGTACAAGTGCCATCATGGATGTTTCGCTTTTCGACCAAACAAGTACTAAAGATTCAGGCTTCTCCGAAGATTCGCTAGAAAGCATCAGTGAAAAGTTACTAGATGACGAGCCTACTATATGCTTTGTAGAAGCATTTGAAGATACACCTACTAAAACAGGCAACAGAAAACGTTTATTTTGCAGCCCTATTGTGGAAAGTCCTTCATTAGTAGTGGCCAATTCATTGAAAAGACTCAAACTAACTCCGAAAAATAATAGAATTGATCAAGATGTTCAAAGAGGAGTGATCAAGGACGCTGTGGAGAAATCTTCAGAAGAAGGCAACTTGGTTGGTGATTTTTCTAAAGAATATGCTTTGCCTTTGATCGAAGTTACCCAATCTGAGCTGAAAATGATTTCTGGGGAGACAATGAAGGACCTTTTAGATGGGAAATACAAGGATTTGATTCAATCGTTTCAGGTAAATTATGTTTTTTTTTAAAAGATAATTCCCTAAGTCAAAAATTTAATAACTATGTTGGCCTTTTCTACATAAAAAATTATTTGAAAGCATTGACAATTTTACAGAATGTCATTTTGACTTTTATTTAAAAAATAAATAAATAGATTTCAGGCTTATTTTTATATATGTAAATTTCTGATGCTTTTAATGATAAGAGACTCATTTTACAGTGAATGCCTAAATTTTGTTCTAATTTCAAGCTCATTTAGAATGTCTTGAGTCTAGTTTCAACAATAATAATTCTTCTTTACAGATAATCGACAGCAGATATCCATATGAATACGAAGGAGGCCATATTCGCGGAGCAATAAACATCTACACCCAAGAATCTTGCCTAAAACTACTCGACAATTCTCCACATCCAAAAGACACAAGACACATCTTAATATTCCATTGCGAATTCTCCCAAGAAAGAGGCCCCAGCATGAATAGAACCTTGAGAAAAGAAGACCGCACTAGAAACGCCATGAATTACCCAAAGTTGAATTATCCAGAAATGTACGTTTTGGAAGGCGGTTACAAAAAGTTTTTCCAGGAATTTTCCGAATATTGCGAGCCGAACACTTATAGGCCGATGTTGCATCCTGAAAATTTGGACGATTTGAAATTTTTCAGGAGGAAGAGTAAGATTGAAACAATGGGAACTAGCAAGAAATGTTTCAAAGGAGCGGGAAATTCTAAAGTTGTTAGGAGGACATTATCAGATGACTTTTGTTAGGAAGTTTTAAATTTACTTTCAATACAACCCAAGTACCCACCCAGTGATTCTTGCTAATTTTTAATAAAAGTAAATTTTGTCCAGCAAATGAATTTTAATGTATCAGAGCTGGGCAGGGCTTGAGTGCTTTGTGCTTGCGAAAGTGCTTGAAGCACTTTGAGGGCTTGAAAGCCCTGTGCTTCAAGCCCTTTTATAGATTTGTAATTGGGGCTTGCAAAGTCAATTACTTTAGAAAAGTGCTTGGTAATTTGTAATTGAAAAAAGTAATTCAAGCCCTTTCAATGAGCTTCAATTACTTTTAGAGGGCTTGAAGCACTTTAAGAGGGCTTGAAGCACTTTTGGGAGCTTGAAGCACTTTGAAAGGGCTTGAAGCACTTTAAAAGGGCTTGAAGCACTTTGAAAGGAATTTGAATTGACCATCACTCAACCTATCCCCCACTTGAAAATTTTCGATCGAGTTTTGTCCCTTAATTTTTTTTTCTATTATTTGAACTTGAACCGTCTTGAACTGTCTTTTCTCTCTTAACAATGGAGGTTTTGGGTTTCAGCTTAGAATGGAATTTAAAAAAAAAATTAATGAACTTATTATTCAAATAAATAATTAATTTATATTGGTAACCTATTTAACTTTATCACTGGATTTTTTCCACTTTTCCCCATTGAACATTTTGAAAACCTTAAAATTGAATTACCATGTAGTACCCCAGAACTACCTCTCAAAAAAAAAAACATACTACTGCTACTCTGTGAAATGTAAAGTTCGTCTCTACTATACCAATTCTGTGTGATGAGTGTACGCGGTAGCTTATGCCACTTTGAGAATTTTATTACAAATTCAAAGTGCTTTACACTTTGAGAATTTTATTACAAATTCAAAGTGCTTTAGGCACATTTAAAGAGCTTCAAGCACATTTAAAGAGCTTGAAGCACATTTAAAGAGCTTGAAGCCCTTTTCAAGGCACCCCAAGCACTTTTGATGTGCTTCAAGCACTTTTCAAATCACTTTGAGGGCTTTGTGCTTGTCAAGCCCAAAGCACTTTGAGGGCTTTGTGCTTGTGAAGCACTTTTGAAAATAAAAAGGAATTTGTGCTTGAAATTGAAGCACTTTGATAGAGGGCTTAGGGCTTAGTGCTTCAAGCCCTTTTACTGAGGGCTTTGCCCAGCTCTGTAATGTATAAGGTTTTAGTTAAGGTAGGAATATAATTTATTGTAAGATTATAAATAAATTTTCATATTTTTGATCATTTTGGTACCTGCTTTTTGTATTCAAATTAAAGACACTTGAATTGAAATTCAGTCATTGTTTTATTTGATACCTACTCTGATCCCTGCTAAAATAACTAAATCTATAACCAGTGAGAACAATTTTGGAAAATCAGTTCAAAATCTATTGTTTTGTATCAAATGATTTCTTGAATTTTAAATTGGTTCCAAGGTGTTTTGAAATAGCTTTGAAAATTTCTGAGCGCTCTATGTAAACAAAATAAAACTTACCAAGCATGTGTATAATAGGATCATTATCGCATCTAAAAAGTTTAAATAACGACCCAATCCCAGTCATAATGTTGTTCAACTTCGTATCGATCCCTTTCAACTCAGCTTCTTTTTTCACAGTCTCCTTCTGTTGCTCATCGACCTTTTTCTCAAGATTCTCCAAAGTCTCTTACTGCTGTTTGTTGAAAACCTGGTGCAATACCGATTGTTTGTCGATTTTTGAATGACGTTCAGCTAATTCATCACTAAGTTCTTCCATTTGCTTGTTTAGATCATTGACGTACTTGAACTTGGCAAAGTTGTCTTCTTCTTGATGAACGAAATTCCTGGCAATTTCTGGAATGTTGTCCAGTTCGGCGAATTCTTTGATTTCGATGAGGAGTTTTAGGTAGTTTTCCAGGTTTCTGTTGATGTGGAGTTTGTTTTCCAGGCGTTTTTGGAGTTGTAGCTCGGCGAGGTCGCGCATTATGCGTTTTTGAAATAATTCAGCTCGATAAAATTTTGTATTTATTTTATTCTTGTATTTATTTATCATCATTATTAATATAGTTACAAATTTCTTACATCATTTTCCTTCACATTATTGTGAAATAAAACAATCGTTTTTCATAACTAAGACATTTTCAAAAGAACATCCTGATATTATGGTAACAAAATCTGCTAAAGGTTATGTTTCTGTTATAATGTATAAAACTCAATAGGTACACAGAATTATCAAATGATTTTATGGACAAAATAATTTTTTAAGCAAAATATGTTCATGACATTATTTGTGCAATACCAGAAGGAAAACAACAAGAAATTGTTGATATTTTCATTAACTATAATCCAAATAGGTATTTAATTTACAATTAAAAATTATGTTGAAAATTATGTTCCTTTCTCAGATACAAAATTGATAAGAACAACAAATAATGAAATTATACTTGATACCTAAACCTACTACACCTTTTTCAATTGTAATTCAAAAAGTATCAGTTGTAATTCAGATTTTTCAAATCTAATTCAGAACATCTCATTTGTAATTCAGATATTTCAAATGTAATATAAAAAAACTCATTTGTAATTAGGAAAATCTCCTCTGACATTCAGAAAATTTGTTTGGTTGGGTGTCACCATGCGCGTACACTTTAAAGCCTGTAACCCGGCTCTTGGGCTTCAAATAACATTGCAATACAGGGTGTCCCAAAAAGATACCGACAAACTTTAAGGGGTAGTAGGGGACATCAAAACAAGCATTTTTGTTTATATAAACATATGTCCGCAAATGAGCCATTTGGGCTGTAGAGCAAAAAAACTGTTTGATATTTTTATTCTTCGCAATAATTAAATCACTGCTTAGCTTACTTATTAATTTTGCTTCATTATCAAATAAATTAGGGTTTAGAATAATTGTTCAAAATGTTGACCATTTACTTCAATGCAAAGATTACACCGTCGGGTCATTGACTGAAAAGTTTAGTCTACGAAACACCTGTTCGTAATGAGGAAGATCTGATAGCAAGGAAACTGGCGAGTTGTACCCATGTAGAAGCTATTCCCGGAATATTCCAAAGAGTTCGCGAGTTGAACAATTATTGTAAACCATAATTTATTTGCTATTAACGCAAAATTAATAAGTCAACAGTGCTTCAATTATTGCGAAAAATAAAACTAGATACCAGTTTTTTTGCTCTACAGCCGAAATGGCTCATTTGCGGACATATGTTTATATAAACAAAAATGCTTCTTTTGATGTCCCCTACTACCCCCTAAAGTTTGTCGGTATCTTTTTGGGACACCCTGTATATGGAGTTTTTCTCAGAGGGGCCTGGGGGACCCTACTAACGTTTGAGCCTAGGATTTTTGGTCATATTTTTCTGTAGAACCACATTTTATTGATTGTAGGTAAAGGCATGGATTACCAGAAGAAAATTATTTATCTATGAAAAACCAAAATAATGTACCTATAAACTAAATGCTTACTCTATAGTCCCCAGTACATCGACCTTAAAATTTTGTAACTCATGTACACGCCCAACTTCCTGAGCAGCTTCATAACAACAAGTCGGACAATATTTTTCATGTCCCCACCCTGGGCGATGGGACATTGCTGCGCTAGCTCTTCGTGAAGTTGTCGTTCTGACGTCCCTAAGGAAGTTGATACATGTACTTGTAAAGCAAAAATGGAAAAAGAAAACTATTTCCAATATCCAGAAAATGGCTTAGAAATTTAAAGAAAAAAGTGCAAAAATCGCATTAAGGTCACTTTGAGCATCTCCACTTTAGACAAAAATTGTAGAGAAGAATAAGATGAAAAACTGACATTTCATCTAATAGTCTTCTACAACAGAAACTAACAGACTACTCTGTATCGTTTCCCAGGTCTAGTCGATTTACCTTGCTATACTCATACATTATTTGATTCACTTTTTGGACTTTATTCTACAGTATGAAATAATGTAGCGTCATTTTTTGTTTTACGTATTTTTATTGATGAAAAAATGTTGAAAATATAATGGTTGCATAGATTAAAATTTTCGACCAAAATTTCGCTGTTTTCGGTTTATAATAAAAAGAAAAAATCAAATGAAGAAAAATTAATACAACTAATATGAAAAATAAATATAACATGAGCCATTTCTCTGAATGCCGAGAATATATTATCAAAGTTTATTATTATTATTATTATCAAAAACTATTGCCACAGTAGCAAAGCCATCCGATCCTTAGTTTTCGAAATACAGTGAAATAAACAAAAAAAAAAACCTATTTTTGCACTAAATATTGTTTATAAAATCCCCTAAAAGTAATTAGATGTTGCATTTTTGGTTTTTAGCATCTTAGTCGGAGAACGAGCAACGTCTAACGTGGAACCTCTATAAGACATCCCGAACAACCACCTAGAAAAAATGTTTTCTTATGTAAATTGACCTGGCGGATCCGATTTTGAAGTTCGCCAGTTGATCTGGAATTGCGAAACTGGTCAAAACCGGCATTTTCCAAAAAATATCCAATTTTATAGATTTTTCTAAATTTCTATTCAACTCGCTGTATCTCCTTTAGTTTTAGTCCGATTGAATTGAATTTTTTTCGAGAGCCAATTTAGACCTTTGTTATTACGACTGACATAACAGAAATGTAGAAAAAATATTACGAGTTACCATAATATATTCTTTTCAAGTTAGTGACACGAAAATTGTTAAAATTGCAGCCAGAAATACTCGATCGAGAAAACTTTTTTGTTTTTGAAGATAGATATATATAGTAAGCGACAAAATTGTAGCCAAAGAACCAAAGAAGTTTTTTTATTCTTGTGATTTTTTCGATAACTTACTTACCTTTTCGAGAAAACGGATCCCCAATATAGAAAAAAAACTAACGCGGCCGCGGCAAGTCAGGCCACGTATAGGTACTGGACTACTTACTGCATAAGCGGTCCCAAGCGTATTGTAGTTTTAGAGGGCAGAGATTTGTTTTGCACTAATAATAACCTATTCGATAATAATCGGGGGTTTATTTCAAAGTTCATTTGGTGAATTTTAATTTTGGAAAAGGAAAAATATGTAAAATAAGGTTTTAAATTTTGATAAAGGTAATTGACAACAATAGTGGTTTAAATCGATTCCATTCAAATATCATTCATGTTGTTATTTTTGTCCAGTAACAGAGGAGACTGAAAACGGTATTTGAGGGGAAAACGTTTGGATATGCGGATATGGTAGAGCTATCGTATGCTAATATCTGTAGTTTGAAAAAAAAAAAAAAAAGCCTTTAAGAAAACAAAGAAACTTTTGAAAATAACCCCACTGCTCTTTTCTGGCTGCAGTACATAAATATGATATGTATACTACAGTGGTATATAATTGCAGAACGTAGCGGAGATTAGAACCAGCATTTACTATCTGTAGAGAAAATGCTCCTTTTTAGGCTTTTTATGGTGTTTACTGGACACTACAAATACTACACTACAAATCATATATACCTGATTATTTAGGTGATATGAAAAGTCTTTGTATGTTTGTTCTAAGCCCATATCCGTCCAAACGCCGTTAAGCACCTCATTTTTTTAATTGAATGTTAAATTTTCCTTTTAGAAACGCTTCGTGTACTTCTGGAGCATAAATTTTTAGAATTTTCATATCACATACGTGAATAAATAATGAAATATACAGTGTCCGCCAAAATAAACAGTACTGAACATACAAAGGTGAGCCTTTATTCCTTCTAAATTCGGAATCCGGAAATAGTGCTCTGCTAAGAAAACTGTTTCTTAAGTTGAAAAAATTCTTCTGATTAGCATACGATAGCTATACCATATCCAAGCGTTTTTCCCACAAATACCGTCTTAAGTTTTCATGCTCCTCTGATACTAAGTTAACATCAGAACACTCAATGTTATTTGTTGTCATCACTCAATCTAAAAATTAATTAGAGAAGCAGCTGAATCAGGAACAAATGAGTATGATAAAAAACACTGGACATAAATAACATCATGAATGATATTTTCAATCGAATCTATTGTCGCGGCTTTGGGTTGCCTGCTGACAAAAATCTTGGGTTCGTTGTTCGTTCCGTTTATTCCAAAAATCAAAGTCCAATTAACACAGCAATAATTTATTCCACTTAAAAAAACACTCTGACACTAATTACTTTATTAACAAACTCAACAATTAAACTCTTTACAATCACTATTTAAATCGTATCACAGTCGAACTGAAACTTAAACTTACAAGCTAAAACCCGTCCTTATATATTGCCGTAATTTATTCACGTAAATTCGGGAAGAACCGCGTTCGACCTTGTTCTTGAACATCGGCGTAAAATCTAGAATCCGCTACACATGGGCGGCTCGTTACCGTTACACTGCCCTCCTCTTAAGGTTGATCGTCCCGATCAACTTCACGCCCATGATATTTCGTCAACCTGTCCAGATGTACAACTTTCATTTTACTCCTGGTGTTGCGTTGAACTCGATAAACCAAATCATTGATCCTCTTGATTATTTTGTAGGGTCCCTCCCACGCTGAAGACAACTTCGGCGATACTCCTTTCTTTCTAGCTGGATTATACAGCCACACTAAATCACCTTCTTGAAATCCGGCTGAATTGGCTTTCATGTCGTATCTGGTCTTCATCCGGTCACTGGCTAGCTGAATATGCTCCCGAGCAAAATCATGGATATCCAGAAGTCGTGCCCTTACTTCGTCGGCATAATCTCGGATTTCTCTCCGTTCTTCTTCAGGTATCCCAAACATCAAATCGCAAGGTAACCTGAGTTCTCTTCCAAAGACGATTCTGGCTGGACTTTCACCTGTTGACTCGTGAACAGCTGCTCTATAAGCCATTAAAAACAGAGGCAAGTGTTTGTCCCAATCACGCTGGTTCCTTGCGACAACTTTTGTTAGATGCTCCTCTATGGTCTTATTAAATCGTTCTACCATGCCATCAGACTGTGGATGTAAAGGTGTTGTCCTGGTCTTACGG